CAGCACCTCAATATCCTTCCTGAACTGAGGGGCCCAGAACTGCACACAGTACTCAAGGTGTGGCCTCACCAGTGCTGAGTACAGGAGCAGAATCACCTCCCTGGTCCTATTGACCATGCTGCAATGTATTTTTCACCAAAACCCCAATGGGAGGGGATATCTCCCAGTAGTTTACTGAAACAAACTCTCATTTGAGCATATCTGAATGTTTCCACTCCAGCAGGAGAAGCTGTTTTGGTTGTCTTAATATTCAAATGGCTTTGTGACTGTCAGAGGTTTCACAGATAATCCTAGCCTTGCCTGACAGCAACGGGGAATCCCAGCAAAAGCTGAGATGGCCACTGCACCAGAGGAGGCAGAAAATGCTGTTGTCTTGGGGGAAATCCACATGAACAGAAAAGAACCACCAGAAGGTAGGTTTGTATTGACAGGACTAGAAATCTGTGTCCTTGTTTAGCTGGGGCAGAGGGAGTGTCCTCAGTCCTGCCACTCCAGATACCTAAAACCTCTGTACATGGAGCCACAAGTGTCAGTATCCATCTCCTGTCTCCTACTAGGCTGGTGACTGCTCTGTATGGTGGTAGGAAGAGCTGCCTGGCTTGGCTTTTCTCACATCACCCATGCAGGGAGCAGAAGGGCTAAGCCTCACAGCAATTTTGGCAGGGGAAGGAGGTAGAGCACTGCCCAAGTGAGTCCAAGCCCTGGGTTTCTGAAGCAGCCAGGCTAACTCAGGGCATGCTGTTCTTCCTTCATTCCCACTGCTGTTGCTTCAGCAACCCCCTGCTGTGCCTGGCCACCAAGATGCCCAGGGAATGCTCAGTGGACACACAACTGGTCGATGTTTCCAGCCTTTTTCCTGGTGCAGTCCCAAAGTGGCATGAAAAATGCTGACATTTCATGAAGAGGAGGTACAACTCAACTGCTGGCAGGTTTTGTATCTATTTTTTCTTTTGATGTTCAGGGAAGAAGACATTTACAGTGGAAGAAGCTGTGGAAACCATTGGGTTTGGGAGGTTCCACATCATGCTTTTCCTCATCATGGGCAGCACTGGGGTAGGTACCTGCAGCCAACTGCACTGGCCTGAAAAAAAGATTCTTCTCATTTTCCTTTTTATTATGCAGTAAATAAGCATCATGAGCATATATTGCAGCCCATTTCTTTTTCCGCACATATGTTCTCCAGCAGAATTTCTGCTATTGTCATCTTTGGCCAAAGTAGACATTGGCCACACCGATATGAGACCTATTTAAGGGCAAAGCTGAGCAGGTTGGCCCAGAACATCCTGGCTTGGCCCCTGCCCTGGAGCACTGTCAGGGCACTTGTCTTCAGTAGTGCCTGAGGGTTAGGTTCAGCCTCATGATGGCATTTGTTGTGTCACCCCCAGGGCACCCAAACCCTGTGCCATCTGACACAGGTAATATGCTGTCTTCTCACCCTTGGCTACATGGAAAATTTTCTAACTTTCATGGTCTTGGGTTAATGGAGTACCTGGTTCGGGAATTTGGGCAAAAGCTCGAGGCCAGGCTGGGCTAATGCCGTAGTGAGGGTATATCCACAAGGACCTCTGCAGCTGAGGTGTAAAGTTCTGTAGCTGTGTGTACACAGTAGGCTCATTCTTAACTGAAGGCAGCTGGTGGGTCAAGCAGCCAATGGAGCAATGAAAGTTTTAAACAAGAGTAGTTTTAAGAGTTCATCTTCATGTTAGGTGCCTGAATTCACATCCAGGTACCTAACAAAGCATCTTGGTTTCCAGAGATAGTTGAAAAGCTTCCACAAGCACAGCAGGGGAGGAGTCTCCTCTGCCAAGGATGACTCTTTCCAAACTTCCTAGATACACAGTGCACCTACATACTTGCTTTCTAGGTGCACCTTTCTCCCTCCTCTCCCTGTTTCCAAGTGCTTGTATCTTCCAGGCACAGGACTCAGACCACTATGGCTTCACGGGACTGTTTTGATGTGGTGGGATAGCCATGGCTGCAGGCTTGGTAGTACTGAGGGACTTCCCATGTGGGTAACCTCTGGTTTCCCTCCTTGCTAACATGCACACTCATTCCAAAAGGTGGTTGAAGCCATGGAGATCATGCTAATAGCTGTCGTGTCCCCTTTCATCCGGTGCGAGTGGCAGCTTCAAGACTGGCAGGTGGCTTTAGTGACAACGGTGAGTGACTTGTTTTCCCCCCAGGCAGGTAATCCACCATAGTCAGAGGCATCACCAAAGGGTTTGTAAAGTACATTTCCCAGTGAACTAAATAAAGTTCTAGGGCCTCCTGAAAGAACAAGGACAGTACTGCATAGAAAACCAGAAATCCAGCTGAGAGATGTCCATGCCCAGAGCTGTAATGCCAAAGCAAGACACCACTTACATAGTCTTTATTTTGGAGTCCTTGCCATCCATCCCCCAGTTCAGAGGGGTGAAGCAGTGAGTGCCCACATGGAGAAAGCCATGCCCTGAAAGCCTCCTCACCCATGGTTCTGTGCACTGCAGTTCGTCCTGCTGCCTGGAGAGCACACAACTCACCCACAGTTCAAAGAGGAGAGCTGCCCTGTGCTGCTGGGGGTGGTTCCTCTACAGCTGTGTTTCAATCCCTTTAGATGGTGTTTTTTGGCTACATGGTCTTCAGCATAGTGCTGGGACTCCTGGCTGACAGGTACGGCCGCCGCAAGGTGAGTGAGCACCAGAGGCTGCACATCCTTTTCTTGAGCTCCACGGGACCCACACACCTGGCTGAGCTTTGATGACCCTAATGTTTCACCTTTTGCAGATTCTGCTGCTCTCTTTCCTCTGGGCAGCCTATTTCTCCCTGCTGACCTCGTTTGCCCCATCCTACATCTGGTTTGTGTTCCTGCGGGCCATGGTAGGAGGAGGTGTGTCAGGCCATGCGCAAGGGTAAGGCTATGCCTCGTGGCACAGGTGGGGTGAGCCCACCTCCCAAGGAAAGCTAACAGACCCATCCACAGGTCCCTCGGGGCTGAACTCAAGGGGCTGAGGTCCTGGATTTACAGCAAGACAGGCCCTTCAACTCATTTTGGCTAAGCCTGGCAGTGATGGGCTCTCTTGCGCTGAGCCCAGTGAGCTGTGGCTACACTATGACCTGAAGGAGATGGCAAGGAAGGGACCTTCAGGGGGCTGCAAGGGGAAAGGGGAGCAAATTCCCACATTGTCTTAAAGCAAAATGCCATTCTATAATTTCGCTAAAACCCAGTTGTTCAACCTAATGTGCAGTTTTCAAGGTCTCCTGAGGCCTGGGATAGAACGGGCAGGTGGTTTATATGAAGCTGGTGACAGAGGGCACATATAAAACCAGTTAGGTAACAGAGGAGCAAAGGCTGTTTCCTTGTAAAAGTCACATGTAGTGAATTCTATTTGAATGATGTAGAATGTTCCCACAAATGAAATTTTTGCCCTGCTGGGGCAGAAAGACAGACGTGGAGGGGAGGAGAGAAATTCACAACCACTTCACTAGGAGCCTGGCAAAATAAGCTATTTCTTTTGACCCTCTCAGGGAAATAAATGCAACATTTCAGCATCTTTCATGGTTCCCCTAAGCCTGGCTGCTGCCCACACAGGCAAGCACAGAACTGGTCATGCGGATCTAAGAGCCCTCTGCTTGAAGGAAAGGAAAGGCCACGTTGGAGACTTGTTGGGAGGAGAAAGCACATCTGCTGAGCTCCTGGCACTGCCTCCCTCACAGGAGAGCCCCCAGTCCCTGGCTCCTGAGGATGCTAATGAGCCTCCTGTAGAGGGAGGGAAATTGGACATTTTATGTAACACTTCAATATGTGAAACAGAGTGAGCCAATGTGGGCCTCTCTGTCCCACCAAGGAAGCACAATTCACACCTGTGAGCCCAAGAGTTGCCAGTGCCAGGATCCTGTGCCCCAAGGGCTCTCCAGCCATTTAAAAAAGTGGAACAGAGTGTTTTCTGTATTGAATGTAAAAAAGTCCCCAAGCAAAACAAAAACTAAGACAAAAAGATTCACTAAAACTGTTCACTTCTACAGTCATGCCCTATGCCTGTGCTGACATCCCAGTCACTCCACAGGAGCTGCCTGTAGGTGTCCTGACAAAGAGACTGCAGTGTTTTCCTGCCTGTATCCCACAGCCATGGACTGGAAAGGGTTCATGCCATGTGTTTCCCTTGCATGTCATTGGGTCACTGCCTGAGTGAAAGGCATATTGAGCAGAGATTCCTCTTCTCTGGGCACTCAGTGGTGGAAGAAGGATGGTACTGTGTGCAGGCAGCAACGTCCAGCACTGACTGAGCTGAGTTGAACTGTCACTTGGTTTGTATAGAAACTCAATGCTGCTGTCTTTCTGCATTTTTGTTTCCTTTCTTGCTAGACTTATCATAAAAACTGAATTTTTGCCCACCAAATACCGGGGATACATGTTGCCCTTATCTCAGGTAAAAGTGAGCATATTACTGTTTCTTCTAGCTCTGAATCCCAGGAGATTTGTCCCCCTGCTGTTTGGAAGTCAGGTGTCCAGCACATCAGCATTTCTCCCAGACTATTCACACTTGTCTGGGTCTGACCAAGCACAGATAATTCCAAATTTGGCCTGAGAGTGTTGTGCTCACTTGCTGGGCAAAGCCCATAGCAAGAGTGACTTGGGTTACCACTCATTGCAGACTTCTGCAATGGGCACTTGCTGCATGTGTGGAGACCTCATTGAGCACACAAATTCATCTGATAAAAAGTGTTCGTATATGGTCTTTGTGGCAGGGATACTTTGCCTTTCATGCCTCTTTGATCCCAGGGCATCATTAGCAAAGCGTCACCAGAAACACAAAGGTTTATAAAGGAACAGTCTTGTATTTCTCCCCAGAAATTTGTTACTTCTGCCCACAGATTATTCATTAAGTTGCTTTGGCTTTTATGTATTTGTTTATAATTTGTGTTGGCTGAGCTTCCTTGGGTGGTTCCCTGGAAAGGGATGTGTCTCCCAGTGGCAACAAGTGAACTTCAGGGAGTAATGTGCTTGCAGATCTGAGTCCTGATTCTTTGTTGGTATTACTTGGCATTGAATCTACTGGAGAGTCACCAACCTTCAGCAATGGAAATCTGGCCTGGTTTTGCCTTCTGAGCTTGTAAATCTGCTGCTTCCCTGCAGAGATTTAGACAAGAGGAAAATTCGCAGGCATGAGCATTAGCAGAGAAATGACTGAAAGGACAAAAGAAGTGTCTTTAAGTACAATGGTAGCCACAGCAAGTTATCTGTTTTTGTCTGGGTTAAGACTATCTTCAGCTGTTAATACCCAAATCCTTGTCTTTTTCTTTTTCCTCCCACCCAAGCATAGCTTCTCAGACAGGCATGGTATGGCTCAGTTGAACCTCAACATTCCCTAGCACAGGTCCTCACCTACCCATAGAACCAGACCAGAAGGGAAGTAAATAAACAGATCTTGTCCATGTCTTCATGTTTTAACCTCTCTCTTCCCCTTGGAAAGGTGTTTTGGTTGGCAGGATCCTTGTTAATCATTGGCCTGGCATCAGTGATGAACCCAACCATCGGCTGGCGGTGGTTGATCAGAATTGCCTCCATCCCTGGCATCCTTCTCATCCTGGTGTTCCAGGTAAGAAGAGCTCTGCTCCCCACTCCCCACTGCACCACCACCACTGACCTGACATCTACCCAGGCACCAAAAGGCTTGTCCCCCTGCTGTTTGGAAGCCTGGTGTCCAGCACATCGGCATTTCTCCCAGACTATTAACACTTGTCTGCGTCTGAGCAAGCACAAATAGTCCCAAATTTGACCTGAGACATGCTGGGAGGGTTGTGCTCACTTGCTGGCAAAGCCCTCCACCCCTGCAAGTCTGGGGCTGTTCTTGTGTCCTCCTTTCACCACTTCAGCCCTCTCACTCAGGGGCTTGACAGGTCCTGATTGCCTGGCAAGGCTTCAGAGCAGCTGCTGGGGAGACATCACCTTGCAGACAATGGTTTGACTTCACTGCTCTGTTGTAGCCCTCCAGCAGCCCATGCTTCAGTGTCCAGGCTGCCAGCAGTACCCATGTGATGCTAAGAAAAGCTGTAAAAGAACTACTCACAGACTTGTATCTCTGAGTAGCAGGTATTTGTTTATTCAGCGCTGGGCACAAGGGGGATCGCTCCCCCAAACTTGTGTGACTGTAATAGCACCTTTCTTTGTATTTATCTCTTAGGGTGTTACATATACATTAGGTTGCTTAATATGCCTGGACATATTCATAACCTGTCCCCGCTTCATGTTATAATGAGCTCTAAACTAATTGCCATGTGTTTGCGCTTGCGCAGTGTCTTCAGGTGGTCATGGGCAGGAGTCTTCAAGAGGAAGGCTAGTAGTCTTCATCAGCTTAAACTTTTCACCTCGTCCTTTAGCACATGCACATTATACTTGATTTTTTTACTAACCCAGATCTCTTGTGTTAATAAGCTAAAGCAATCCTAAAATTAGTGTTCTATACATTTGGTAAGATAAGGTAGCACCCTTTTGTGAACTACTGTCTTGATTTATTTCTTCCCTTGTCCACTCAACCGGTCCTTAATTGCCTTTTGGAGCCCACTTTGTTTACCCGGCCAGTGCCTCCTTAAATTCTTTCTTTGGGGCCTACTTCTCTTATCAATTCCCTCCCTTAGCTCCAGTCAGTATCCTCTCTTTTTGAAGTGTGCATGTCAATGTGGAGCAAGCACAAACAGGCAGTACCAGTTGTTTAGTAAGCAACTTCCAGTACATCATTTTAGCTTCTTTGTATCACATGGATCATAATGATGGGCCACGCACTGAAAGCAAGACAGGCTAGACAGGGAGTGCAAAAAATCACAAGAAGTATCTTCAGGCTAGCGCTGGCCATAGCGCACCCTCTTCATTTGGCATTTCTAGGGCTGAGGAAAGCAGCTCAGTAAAGTGTTTGCAGAGAAAATGGGTGTCAGGGTCAACCACAGCTTCCCCAGGTTTACTTCTGCTTCAGAAATATCAGCCTTGGATATAAGAACCATCTTATTTGTGGGGAATGATGTGGAAAATCCCAACTTGCAGTGCTCATGGGCACTGCAGTGCTGAGTTGTGCCTCGTGGAAGTCATGCAGATGTAAAAGCCCTTCCTGCAGCTGAATGAGAGCACAAGTCCAGCTGGGGTGCTAACTGGGTGGGCAATGCAAGGCCACTGTGTGCCTCCACTTGTAGAACTTTGACGTTTGGTTTCCCTGATCATTTTTTCAGAAAAAAATAGATAGCAAAAGTTTTTAATCCAGAAGAAAAAAAGGCAGTCAGCATGCATGCCTTTAAAAAAGGAGACTTTAATTCATGTTTTGGTATGTAATGTTCAGCCATCATTTAATCATCAAGTATTTTATTTTGGAAGGAGCACTAGGTGTGGGTGAACATTGCAAATGCTAGTGATGAGTGACTTAGTTCCTAAATTTCAGCCATGACTTCCTATTGCATTAAACTGACCTTGTTGTATCTTCCAAGATTTTGCTTAAGTAACATGTGCCTAATCTCATTGTAGAATGTCAATTAGTTCAGGGTTGTTTTGTTATACCAGTTTCTTTCATAAATGCTTGTTAGAGGTGGCTCAGTGGCAGACCCCTGGGAGCTGGACCAAGAAATGTGTTGGCTGGGCAGGGTGAGCCCCCCAACATGGGGTGTGGGGAGCTGTGATATACAGGAGACCTCAGAGCGTGGCTGGGGAGGAGGACAGGCCAAAGGCTGCTCCAGCTTACAGAGTGCCCCGTGCAAACCTGACCAGGTTCCTGGGCATGACGGGAAGCTGTGAGTAGGACAAGAGAGGTGCAGAAAAGATTCCTGATACCACTCTACTTTCAGTTCATCCCAGAATCAGCACGGTACAACATGTCCACGGGAAACGTGGCAGCTGCCCTGGCCACGCTGCAGAGAGTAGCCAAGGTGAATGGGGCGGCGATGCCGGATGGGCTGCTGAGGGAGCCTGTGAAGGTGAGTCGAGGCTGCAGTGCACTCAGCATGTCCATCCTGGGCAGGGCTGCTGGCATCTGGGGTCCAGGGAGGGAGCCAAGCATGTCTTGCTCTGCCTCTCTTGTCCTTCTCACCTGGCTTCTTTCCAAACCACTGTAGAATTGGTAATGATGTCAGTTTTCTTTTGGAGAGACAGTAATCTTGGCCCTCAACACAGAATGGAGTTTTCTGCTCATTTTTCTCCTCAGTCTATGTTCACTCAGAAAGATATTGTGCTAAGAAATTATTTGCTTCCTTTACCACATAAAGAGCTCCTGGAAAAGCATGTTCCTCCTTATTGCCCATCCAGCCTGCAGAGGTGTCCCCTGTACCATGAAACTGGGACCTGCCCCTTGAGGTCCCTCTTTGGGCTGTGGCTGGGGGGGCCATGAGGGTAATCCAATGCTCCCAGAGGCTTCTCCCAGCCCCTGGCCCAGCTTATCCACGGTGTCTCAGCACCCCATGCACCTGAGTGTGGAGCAGAAGAGAGTCAAAGCAGGAGAGACCATTTCACAGCTACCATCATCTGCACCTGTAAGCAGCTGAGCAGCTCAGGAGTTGAGCACTGCTGGACTACAGTGCCTGATGAAAGCATGTGTGGATGTTGCAGCTGGGGCAGGAGTGGAGCTGGGGGACAGGCTGCCCCCAGACTTCTCCCTCTGACACCCATTCTGGGCGCTGCTGACTGTTGGGTGGGAGGACTTAGTCAGGTGGCTCCTTTGACCCCCAAGAGAGGAAGATTAGAGGAATCTATTGTCCTGGCCTCAAAATTATTATCCAGCTCTTTCAAGTCCCTTTCCTGGACCTCTTTGCTGCTTATTCAATCCCACAGGCACCGAGCATTGTCCTTAGCAATTCATGCAAGATGGTGCTATTGTATTGGAATTAATCAGGATTAAGGCTTCCATGTAGTTTAATTGAATTTATGTAATGGATCCACATTGGCTGTGGGAAGGGTTTTTGTCAGTTGTGCACCCTCTCAAGTTTAACTAGCTATGAGGGAACTAAAAATAAAGGCAACTCAGATCACACCTGTGAACTTGTCTCCCCTCGGTGGTGAGATGCTGGGTCAGCTCTCAGCTCCTGGGGAGCAGCAGGGCCCCCACAGTGCCTGCATGTCTCTCTGCTCACTGGCGTTTCAGGCCTCACAGCAAGATGCATGTGGCCAAGAACTTGCTTCACAGGCAGAGCAGCACGTGGAGCAATGGGGGTGGCTGCAGCCCTGGCAGTGCTGGCTCCCCAGCAGCAACCAGAGCCCTCTCTGGCACTGTCATGGTCACATTGGGACCAGATCGCTGGGATCTGGGGGAACCTGTGGGGGCTGAGAGTGCTCAGGATGGTCTCTTCTCCTTGTCTCCGTCCTTTGCAGTCCACCCTCTCGTGGCCATCCTTTGGGAAACAGGGCTTTCCTCTCTGGAGGGTTGGTGGGGTGCTGTGTTGTACCATCTCAGTCCCTCTGTGCCATCAGCAGCCTGGGGAGGACAGAGGGGCCTGGGTGCCTCAGAACTCTTGCATCTGTATAAAAGATGCCCTTTTAAAACCTACTTCTGTCATATTACCGAATTTCTATCATGATTTGCAGGAAAGGAGAGGAAGATTCAAGGACCTCATCCACCCCAAATACCTCAGGACCACTTTGCAGATATGGATCATATGGTAAATAGATTTCTTTTTCTCTTGCTTATCTGCTCATTCTCTCAGTTGAATGTGTGCAGGGAGAAGCCTCCCACTGACTCTGCCCTTGCAAGGCACCACTCTGCCTCAGGTGGTGGCTGCAGATCCCTGGCAGCTGGAGGGGAGTGTGTGGGCATAGGCTTACCCTGACCTCAGCTCATGCCTCAGACCCCCTGACTGGTTGCTGTTAACATAGGCAGAAAAAGCCTGGACACCCTGGGTTGTGCAGGGTGCCATGAGCCCTTCCCCAGGTGGGGTGGGAGACACAGGAGAAAGCCCAAGCCTGCTTGCAGCATGCACCAGCCAAGTAACCGTGACTCCACTTCCCTTCTTGGTATAAAGTTCTTTCCAAGCTCCTCCTCCTTTCCAAATGCACCACCAGGCCAGTCAAAGAACCAGAGACAGGGTCCCAACAGAGCTCATTACCTGTTAGCAGTGCTGCTCACAGGGGAGAATCAAGGCTGAAGAGAGGTTTCATGTGCAGTGCTCCCACTGCTGCATGCAAGGGTAACATATGTTTCATTGGCTTTGCTGTTTGGAATGGAAATGTATGAATAATAGGTCTGTGGGAACTCATTGACCCAAAATGCTTGTAAGTCAGGCCTTGAATTTTTTATGGTTTTTCCCCTTGACTTGTATGAGTGTTATGAAATATCTTTCTGTTTTTTAATCTTTCTTTCTCTCCTAGTCCTCCCAGGACTTGCTGGCATGTTCTCGGGTTTGCATTCCCATTGCCCCAAGCATCCCCTGCCTCCCCATGTAACTCAGATTCTGCTCCTCGTTCCTGAAACTGACAGGGAGGGAAGAAAAAGTCCTGTCAGGAACCTACTTCAATGCAGGCTTCCCATGAGGTCACAGCCTCCTTTGGGCAGTCACCTGCTCCAGTGTGGTGTCATCCAAAGGCTACAGATGGATATCTGCTCCACCATGGACCTCCATGGGCTGCAGGGGGACCTGCTTCAGGGGAATCTCTGTTCTGGTGCCTGAAGCACCTTCTCCCCATCTTTCTTCTCTGACCTTGATGTCTGGACAGTTGTTTCTTGCACATATTCTCAGTCTTTTCTCTGGCTGCAGTTGCTTCTGTGTATTTTTTTTCCACCTTCATAAACACATTACCCCTGAGATGCTACCCCTATTGCTGACAGGCTCAGCCTTGATCGACAGTGGAAGTGTCTTGGAGCTGCTGGCATTGGCTCTGTCAGACATGGAGGAAACTTTTAGCAGCTTCTCATGGAAGTCAGTCCTGTACTCCCCAAACACTACCAAAGCCTGGCTATGCACCCAATACAAAGATGGAACTGTGAGCTGAGATGGGGTTCATGAGGAAGAGCAGTGCATAGACACAGGTGGCAGGGGCAAGCCATGAGTGGGGTGACCAGTAGGCTGGTGGGTGCCCGAGCCACTGCTCTGCTCAGGCTAAGGGGTTCTATCATGCAGAGCTGGTCCTGGAGCACACAAAACCTGTTGCATTTAAGTTCCTCATCTTCCCCATCATAGCTGCAGCTCACTGCAGTGTTTCTCCCTGCTAGGCTTGGCATAGCTTTTGCTTATTATGGTGTCATCTTGGCCAGTGCTGAGTTACTGGAGCGGGACCTCGTCTGTGGCTCTGCGGCACCACCGGCGCAGCACTCCAGTGGTGACTCCGAGGAGAGCCACAGCCCTTGCCACTGCCACTTCTTTGGACCTGCTGCCTACCAGACCATGATCATCAGCACAGCTGGAGAGATCGCATGTAACCTCTTCTCCCCTCCCTGCCCTGCCTTTCCTGCTCACAGCCAGTGCTTGCTGCAAAGATCTTAGCTGTGCATGCACAGGGGCTAAAATGAACTCAGCATTGCTGGCAACTTCTGGGACAGAAGCCATGAGTTCATGGCAAGGGGCGAGGAAGGGCATTGCTCCCTGGGCATATAGCTCAGCTTCTGGTGACAACATGGGTCCTTCCAAGAGCAGAGCCAAAGACCTACTTTGCAGTTAGTATGTACCGACAGCCTTGGCTAAACTTCAGGGGAAATTGCTTGTAACTTACCAGAGCTGAGCCTGGCTTCCCAAAGTCCCAGACATGCAGATTTTGGATAGTCAGAAACAAGCACAGATTGCAAACAGTCAGATGGATGTAACTGAATGTACCACACCAGTGCCTGCTTTCCAAGGGATGATGGCCTCAGAAGCAAGTCCTGTGCTGAGCTCTACCAGTAAAGGGCAGCAACCATGTGGCACCCTTGAAAGGACCTGGCAGGGTATGTGAGTCTAGTGTTACAACATGCTGGAGAGGTGCACTGTTTCCCCTGGTTCATGTTTCAGCAGCTGAACTACAAAGCAAGGGGGTGTTGAGTCCTGCTGGGACAGCCAGGCTGAGATCAGTCTGGTGCTGTGCTCCTGGCTCGGTGGGGACCCAACGGGGCACACCCCAGGCCCTGGTGCTTGGCTGGGCTGTGGCCAGAGGCAGCAAAACCACCCAGGTCTGTGCTGCTCAGCTGGTGGGTGCCTTCCTTGTGTGGCTCAGGGTGGCACTGGTGGCCTGCATTAGCACAACAGGGCAACTTCAGGGAAGCAGATGCTCCATTGTCTGAGGGGAAGGACAAACAAAAAGGGGCATGGGAGCAAATTTCAGGGAAGAGAATTACAAAGTTTGTGCATTTTATTTGGTAGGCACAAGGGATGGAGAGAGGTATCTGTGGGGCACACTGCATGAGGGTCTGTCAAGGCAGACAATCATTGCAGTTAAGTCATCTAACATTTTATGGTTTTCCATTTTATCTCCAGTAAATCCTTTGAACATTCTCTGCATCAATGTCCTTGGGAGACGTCTGAGCCTGTGTATCACCATGGGATGTACAGCACTATTCTTTCTTCTCCTTAATATCTGCACCTCGAGGTACCCTGGCTCAGCCTAAGAGTCTTGCTGTGGGGCATGCAGTGCTGAGGGCAGGGCCTATACTATTCTCAGATCACCAGCTGGTCAGGCCAGTAAGTCTTGTAGATGTGAAAAAAGCCCCTGGCTGGTTCCCTCCTATTCCCAGGAAGGCTGTGGCAGCAGATGCTGTGCTGCAGCAGTGTGTAGGGGCTCACTTGTGTTACTGAGCCCACACAGCTTCCCCTAAGCATACAACAAGCTGCTCTCTGGCATGGACTAGAAAATTATGCAAACATCCACCAGAAATAAATATTTTTCATTCACTTTTCCCCCCCTTTCTTTCTCTTTTGGCAACACTAACTATGTCTGCTCTAACTTGTAGAGTCAGGCATTTCACAAGAGCTCAAGGCACCAAGGGTCAGCCATGAATGCTGTTATTTGTGAAGATCATAGAATCATAGAGTATTAGGGGTTGGAATGGACCTTACAGATCATGTAGCCCCAACCCCCTGCCCTGGACAGGGACACCTCTTCACTAGGTCAGGTTGCTCAAGGCTCATCCAGTCTGGCCTTGAACACTGCCAGGGTTGGGGCATCCACAGCCTCCCTGGGCAACCTGTGCCAGTGTCTCACCACCCTCACAGGGAAAACCTTCTTCCTAAGGTCTAGCCTAAATTTCCCTCTTTCAATTTGTACCCATTGCCCCTTGTCCTGTCACTGCAGCTCCTAACACAGAGTCCCTCCCTGGCTTCCCTGCAGGCCCTACTGGAAGGCTGCTATGAAGGTGTATAAGATCGATCCCTCTCAAGCTGGCAGAGCATAATGGTTACTGAAAATCAGGATGGCTTCACCTTGAAGTTTCCTCTAAACTGCCTGGTAGCCTGAGAGCTGCAGTGTACATCCCTACTGATCACTGGTCCTGGAGGCTGGATGGAATACTTGGGAGCTGGAGTGGAGGCTGCAAATAGCTGCTAGCTAAATAAACCCTTGTCCAGTCATCCAGTCATTCAGTGAGGCATTGGCTTCTATACTGCTAGTACTGTTTTCAGTTTCCCTAAAGCAGAACCTGGCCATCATATCTGCTTGCACTGGTTTTACAGAGGTACCAGAAGGGAGGACCAGGTTGAAGTCAGACTTGACTATAACACGGAAGGCACCAGCTGAGGTACTATAGAGCTGTTCAGATTGTTCTTCCAGCCTCTGACACTGGCCTAAAGGAGACTTTGTGTGCAACAGCCTGTTGTCAATGGACCAAAGAAAGATTCTACTTGCCAGCAATTAACTTTTCCTTGTGCTTTCCCTCACATTAAGCTAGCAAAAGCCTTAGCGCAGTGCACAGATTAGGTTGCTCCTCTGCTGGTTGCTACTCTGTGATGCTAACTGTGTTCCACACGACTCTCTAGTGCAGGCACGACTGGGTTTCTCTTCATGCTGCGTGCCTTGGTTTCAGCAAACTTCAACACCACCTACATCTACACAGCAGAGGTGGGTCCTCCTAAAAGTATATTAACTTGCTCTTAATTCTGAACTTAATTCTCCAGGAATGCTGCTATGTGTATTTATTCACCTTCCTCGAACTGAGTATATCGGGCTACCAGGCCACACTGTTTTCATATGCAAGGTCAGAGAAGGAATCAGAAAACAAGCTGGAGATGACAAGAGCATATTTCTTTTCATGTCTTATCCCATTAGCTGCCCTTCACAACGCACTGGGTGTCCCTCAAGAAAAGCTGAAAATAAATAAAAATCAGGTATCACAGGTTGCTGTTGCACTAATCCGATCTCCTTCTGGCCTGTTTCAGGTTTATCCCACCACAATGCGAGCCCTGGGGATGGGGACAAGTGGGTCACTGTGCCGTATTGGAGCTATGGTGGCTCCATTTATAGCACAGGTAAGAGCACACTGGATAATGTTGGCAAACTCTGCGCTGATCATTGCTATCAAATACAGAGATGCCCTCGAAGTTCACCCCAAAATGGGAGGATATAATCCCATCCTGTATGTAAAGTACTTAGGTGATGCTTGCCAGACATACCTCTGCATAACTCTCATCCTGCATTTCAGCTTTACGACTTCCTGAAAGTTCCTAAGGTTCACAAGACATTGCTTTTCTATTGTTGACTCTTTCAGCTGTTCGTGACCCTTTGCCCACTTTTCGTTCCTACGTGCGTGCCAGTGCCCACAGCACCGAGCTGATGTTCAATGTTCCTCTGCCTACAGGTTCTCATGAGCACTTCTTTCACTGGGGCCTCGTGTCTTTTCTCATCCGTGTGCGTGGTCTGTGCCATCTCTGCAGTCACACTGCCCACGGAGACAAAGGGCAGGGCCCTGCCGGTATGTGCCACCACTCCAGGAGCTCCTGTGTGCCTAAGTGCTGGTTGGAGACTGGTAAATGATGATTCAGGCAGAATCCAAACTGAACTCTCCTGAGGTCCCTTAAGCCGAAATGAGGCCTGATAGGCAAGCCCAGGACATGCTGTTGCAGCAGCTTAATCCATATTCCTTGGGTGACACCTTTTAAGGTTTCCCCAAGGTGCAAGGGCCAGTTAGCATTAGGGTTTTCCAATTAACAGATTGATTGTTGCCTGCTCCCTTGAATGGCTGCCTTTCAGAAAGGCATGTGTTTTGTGGTTTTATGTCATTTACATCACCTATATGGCATCTCATAGAAGCCTGGGAATGTGGGGAAAAGTTTACATAAGGAAATGAACAAACCAACCTGTTCATCCCTTGTGGGTGAAATTCAACCCCATGTACAGAAACCAGAGAGCCAATTAGGCCTTCATGGGGTTGGATTTACAATAGTTACTAAGGAAAACAATTAAAACTGCTTTAAACAAAATAAAAACTGATTCAGCTATAGTTGGAATAACTTTGGCTAACCCTGGTCAAGAAAAACTGGGAGTACAATGATTCCTTAATGGGTTCCCCCTTTTCCTGGGGAATTAACTCCATTACTGTATTATCCCCCTTGTTACAAGTAAGTTACCAGCTGCAGCTGCTGGACTTGCACAGCATGAGCCAAGGGATGAAAACCCCAAAATCTGAAGGAATAGCTGTGTGCTCAGAGCAGCCTCCATCAGATTCTGAATTCAGCCGGTGAACTCTGATCTGCTCATTGAAGAGATCACATTTGTGTGGGATTGCCATGCTGTGGCTGGTCCTAGGGCCTCACACAGGGCAGTCATCAAACCCACACAACAGTCTCAACAGAGCCCCAGAGTCAGTCAGGCTGGAAGGGACCTCACTGGGTCACCTCTGGTCCAACCCCTGCTTGAGCTGGGCCAGCCCAGAGCACACAGCTCAGGGCTGTGTGATGTGGTGTAAAAGCTCTTCCAACATGGCAATATTTAGTCTTTAGGCTCCAGGCAATAGATGTGTCCCTTAAAACTAGCTCTAAATGAACCAGCTATATAAAAAATATGTAAGCAACTTTTTGTGAAACCTAGACACTGACATTTGAAAAGCATCATCTGCTCCTGTGTCAGTTTATAGGACACTCTCAAAGCAGCCATGGGCATTGCCTGTCAGGGATGAGACCTCTTGGACACACACAAATCCATATTGTTTTCCACTGCATCTATTTCAGTTGGTTTTCATGTGCATTTTATTAATTTTATGTATTTTTTCTTTCCCTTTTTAGTAAGCAAAATGAAAGCAACTGTTTGGTGTTGGATTAAGCTGGAAAGAAAAATGGGCCTTTGGAATCTGTCAGTTCCTGTGAGCTGCATTTGGTGTTGATTGCTTCTCCATACCATTTCCAGTATAAAAAATATTGCAACTGAACAGTGTAAGTGCTATGATTTCCCAGACAAACGGCAAATTTCTTCAGGATATTTTCTTTCTTAGGACTCGTTTTCTACCCTTCCTGTGAAGTGAGATGAAAATTTTTACTACTAGTTCTACCAGCAGTGACATTGCACACACACACACACACAAAAAAAAAATAGAAAGAAAAAAGAGGAAAACTGTTCAGTCAGTTGAGGTGAAGGGGGAACCACATAAACCAGACAGCCCTTCCATAGCAGCTTGGAAGAATGTACTACTTTCCTCAGCTCTTTGTGCATACACCACCTGCATTAAAGTAATAAAATTTAACATCTCAAACCTCATTGCAGTTACAACTTCTGAGGATTGTTAGGGTGATAGTCAAGACCACAAAATGAAAGGGGAGTCAGTTTTTTTCCAGTGGATAACTTAAAAAGACAGTTTCAAGGAGCTGACAGCAGCCAGGTAAGTGACTGGACTGCAGGAGTACATGTACTCTCCTCTCCCCGGAGTTGTTCCACTGGGAGCACCACCTCAGTGTGAAGCTGTGTAGATGCTTAGATTCACCTCCAAATGCACTGACTCCCAATAAATCTGTGCTTGTAACTTATAGTGCAAGGAAACACACAGCACCTTCCTCTGGAAGCTCTGTCACTCGGTGCCAGCATTATCTAAGCCTTCCAGGCATTCCTAGATCTTTCAATGGCAGTGCCTCTTTATTTTTTGGCTGTGCCACTGTAGTGTGCACTGCTTACACTGCTTGTTTTGCTAGAATGGTCTCCCTCACCATCGTGTTCTGCTCCTTAGCCTCTTTTTATTTCTCTTCTGGTACTCTGGGATGGTAGAACTTACGAGCAACTCTCCTCCCATCATAAAAACTTTCCAGAAAAAACCCAAAACACACAAGAGCAGCAATAGTAATAATAGTAAAACCCCACTAAGCTAAAACCTACAAGCAAACAAAGAAAATACTCGAAGGACAAAGGAAAATAAATGGTTATTTTGGGTAGCTCAAAAACTCACCACATGCTCGTGGAATTCAAAGGCTGTGTCAGAGGCCTCCTGTCACCACTGAGTATTCTCTGGGATTGTCCTCTGCCCTGCAGTGTGCAGGGCCAGGCTAGGACAAAGGCAGCAGGCAAGAGGCAAACCCAGGGCCTCTTCTGAGCACGTGTACCCAGCACGAGGCACAAGCAGCCCCTAAAATCCATCTCTTCCATGATCTATGCACAGCACCCCTCAGGCTGCACAGTGAGCCAGAAGCAGGTTTGTCTTCACAACTCCAGTGGCAGAAGTCTGGCACACTCCGAGCTCAAGTCATCCAAGACTCTTTTCTCTCCCAAACACTCAGTTTACATTTAAAAGGACAAAAATGAAGAGTATAAACCAGTAACTGGGGCAACCACATATGAGTACTTCTCTAACTCTGCAATCTCTGAGGGCAGAGACAACCCACCCATGTTGTTGTCAGAGCATCTGGAAAGTAGAGAGAATAGAAAAAGATAATCTGTCCTCATCTTCTGATGATTTTAACAGGGAGAGATGAAGGGCTGAAGGGCAATATCTTTCTCTTCAAACTTGGGATCTCCCAGGTGACTAACAATGCTGGCTGCGTTTTGACAACACATTTAGAAACTTGGAAAAGCAGTAAGAGCTTGTGGACAGAAAGGATGGTTTCCCCCTCTTTAAACACACACACAGACTAACTGATAGTTGCAGAAAAACATTTTTTTCCCCTCTAGACTTTCCCATCAACTCCATTAAACAAGGTACATCACAACTTGAGACACCTGTGAAACAAAACAGTACAGAAATGCCATTGTTTTGTGCTGGTGGTGAGAAAAATGGCGCAAACCAAAGTATTTTGTCCTTCACTTCCTCCATTAAAAACTGTCACACAAATTACTCTTTCTCCTTTTTTTTTTTTAGTTATTTTTAATACCCTCTCTCTTACACTTTTAAATTCCCAATAACTTCTTTGGAGGCAACTACACTTCCATTGTACCAATCAGGATGGCAGGACTGTAACATTACACCATCTCTTTCCATGGCTTGTTTTAAATACAGTACAAAGCGATAAAATTATAGCCATGCCTTTGGTAAAATTGAGTCCGGTGAGATTACATTCCCTTCAAGCTCAGCTACACGTGGAACTCATGTCATGTGTTGGAAGTTCAGTTATGTAAAAACTTCTCTCTCAGAACAAAGTTAAACATCTGTTTCCCCACGCAAATAGCAATTTCTGTGCTGCTCCAGGAAAGAGATTAAGGTTTTGAACTTCAGAAAAGCTTCACATGCCTTGATCTCTGCTAGATTGATGTTTCAGACAAGGGGTAGAAAGTCTAGTAGATATTCACAAACCTGTAAGTCAAAACAGTGCCAACAGTGATAAATACTCTCAGTTGTACAAAAACTTTGCATTACACATGGCTCATTTAAGCAGCTGATGGTCTTCTCCTTTGAGGCGCTTCTTCTGAGGCTGTACCAAGTCATCATCTGAGTCATCAGTGAGTTCTGGATTCTCTCCTTCACTCTGGCTATTGGGTTGTACAGGAAACCTCCTCTCAGGGTAAAAGTTCCTTAGAAGTTCCTCAAAGCACGCTTTGAGTTTGATGCCAGCATCGGCCACTTCTGAGTCAGGCTGTTGGGGGAAGTAAAAGCATCAGTGCATCACGGAATGGCTGCAGACTTGAGTCACATTAGGTCTGTCAGGTAAAAACTACAGAGAACAAGAATTCACCTGTGGAACCCATGGTCCCAAGGAGCACAAACCTGCCAAACAGAGGGTGAGGGTAGCGCTTCTGGCTGACACCCATGGTGACTTTTTGCCCAGAGGGATTATCACAGAAGCCAAATGTGACAGAAGGTTTAGAAAAACAACTTGGCATGAAACAAGTAGCTGGAGACAGCAATGCTGTAAGGGCAGCAACCTTCTCTGAGGCAGAGGAGGATGCTCTTTAAAGGGATGGCTTGCCACTCTAGAAGGATTCACTTTTCTTTCTATGTTCACTTTAGTAAGCATTGGGCGAAAAATGTGTTAAGAAAGCAATGGTGAAAATGATTTGGGAATAGAATTCCAATATGAGAACTACATCAGCTATGGATTTGCCAAGATTTACCACTGGACTGAAAATGGCTTACAATATTGTCCACAGAAATTGTAATGCTTATTGTTTAATGTATAACTTGTTGTAGAAAATAAGGAGTAAGACTTTATGCATAATTTGCTGTAGGTTGTAGAGAGTAAGTTGTGAGACTATCTGAAAACAGTAATTTCACAAAGTCTCAACAGGGGGAAATGTAAGCAGGTACACATCCAGTCACAAAAGCAATCCTGTCTGGGTTCCAAGAGCAATCTGAAGGGATCCCAAAGCACCCTACACCCTGACCGGATGGGTGGGGTAGAAAGACACTGTGTTATGCTGTGAAATACACAGCTAAGCCTTCAGGGTGCCAAAGGGCTTGGAACAACTGACTGAAATGCTAAGATTTCTCTACCTTTTTTAATTGCAGAGACAACATTACTCAGGCACATAATGACTGGAGCATGGAGCACTAGGCAGTCCTAAAGACATTCACAGCCAGCACAGCTGATCCAACTCTGAAGCAGAGAGTTCACCACAGGAGGAATTATCCTAGTTATCCAGGGTGACTGGTCACGTGGAGAACCCTTTATTCCCACTGTACTTCTCTCTCATTTTGTGCTCCACTCAGTACCTGCATCCCTTTTTCACCACGTTTCCTTATGTGCACTTAGGGACAGTAACAATCACTCAACATGCAACTTGAAATCATAAGGGTGAATGGAGATCTCCCAGAATGCAAATCCCACTGAATTTAAGGGTTGAGGAAAGGAGGATTAAGCCAATTTTTAAATCAAATGCTTGCAATTAACCTCTGTGATTGTAAATTGTCTTTTTCTTTACCTTCTGTCCTGCCACTCAGCTATCATGTTTGTTCCAGTCCTCCTTCCCTCCATTGTCAGATCTCCACTGCATGGTCATCTAACAGTTTCAAATGTGATCTCTTTTTCACTGCAGTCTCATCATCAAAGTAAGTCTAATGTAATAAACTCTTGTAAGTTCTACCCCCATTAGAGTTTTCCTGTAACCAACTAAGCCCACAAAACCTGATAACGTATCTGCTTTTCTAACCTCATTAAATTCAGCACAGTTTTGGAAAATCAGTCTGACATCAGCCACAAAATCTTCTGGCTTTGTGTAGAACGACTCATTCACTTCAAGTCTTCTCTTGATAGTTGACAAGTCCATAGGCTTTTTGATTATCTTATAGTAATCAGGAACCTAAATAGAGAAAGAACACTTTTACCAAATGCAGTCATGTTCATTTCTTGCTGTTTTACAGACCTGCAGATCCGAGGGACAGGGCAATGTTTAATCTCATCTTCCAAGTGCAGTGCTAAGAAGTAAGAGCTGCACTTTTAACACAGTTTGCACACAGTCTGTGGAGTGACATCTCGTGGTTGTGCTGGCTAAAATGTATTCCTTCCAATGCTAAGTTACAGAAAAGCAAATAACCCCCTCCTACACTGATTACATGCAGCAGGGTGAAGGACTCAGGTCCAACATCATCTCCAAATGCAGCCCATGAGTTACCTATTAGGTTTCACTCAGGCCACCTCATGACAGCCGAAATGAAACACATGAGTAATTGTGTAAAATGAGGTTTGGACGTGAATTATGTCCTTCAAAATGGTGGCACATTTCAGAGATGCCAAGGATTTTGACACTTAAACTGTGGCTGTAGGAATCTAGAAGGAATTATAAATTAGAAAATAAGATATGAAATACAGTGATAATAACTGTTTACCTTTTTCCTAACTAGATTCACGTTTTAAGACCTGAATTCAGTAACACATGAGGATCATGTGATGGTCATAATCACTGGTGCCATTTCTTATTACCCAACTATGTGGAATGTTCTCCAGAAGAATTCTTATTCAAATGGAATAAAAAGGCTGCACAGGAGAATCACTTATGGATGAATTCTGTCCCCATTTCTTGCCTTGAACAACATCTTTCCACCCCATCACGCTGGTAACTGTTCTACATATCCTCGGACTTCCAACACTCCCAGGCATCGTTTGCCATTTTAAACTGACAAAGTCCAAGTTAATAATCAAAAATTCAGTTTCATGTTAGTACTATGGTTCCCTAATCCTCAAAATCAGGTAATGTTTTAAACAACCCAAACATGTCCCAGTTCACCTTTTCAGCGACATCGCTCAGCATGCGAAATGAGCAGTGTTAGAACTTAAACTTTGTGCCTATTTTTGAAATTCTTTGGAAATCTAGCTTGTAAATCCCATTTCAACCCAATGCTTCAACTTCAGACTTCTCCTTTCAGAGAGTTTTAATAAAATAGCCACATTTAATAC